TGCTCCTGGCGGTCATTCAGGTAACTCCCAGGTCCTCGGGGCTAAGAGGTTCTGCCCAGGGTCCCCAGCTCTGTTCTCACCCTACCTTGCTGTTCCCTTGGCAACCAGTAGTTTGGGGTTGCAGATGGAAGGGGCCCACAGTGGGTTGGCTTCGTTGCCCGTGGCAGGATCTCGGTCTCACGGGGGTTGCAGGAGAGCAGGGCTGGGGGGCTGCCGGGCCTCTTTCTGGCTGCGACCTTGGGGTCTTGCTCCCACCGGTCTCAGCCCTGTTTTCCTCTCCAGTGGAACAGACAACTACCTCCTGCCTTCTGGAGTGGCTAGAGCTGGGGGGTAATTGGGTGGAGGCCCCCCCAGGCTGCACTCATCAGGTTTCTATTTACTAGGCCCAGTTGGCCTCACCCCTGAAGTGATCGGCAGTCCCACCGACAATGTGTAATAAATAAATTACTTATTATGGCCACATCTTCACCAGCATTTATTATCGTTTCCAATCTTGAGGGTTACCGTCCTAACTGGGGTGAGGTGAAAACTCCTGTAGTTTTGGTTTACATTTCCCCGATTGCTAAGGACATTGGACAGTGCTTCATCTACTCGTTGGCCAACCAGTCTGATTTACGGAACCCCAGACAGATAGACACGGATGGTCAGAGCTGGCAGAGGAGGGAGCTGAACAGGGAGCAAACACAGAGCCCTGGAGGGCCTTGGTGAGAAGGTGCGAGACCCGGGTCGCACTGGCCCTCAGAGATCGGGGGTCAGAGCCCCAGCTGTGTGAAGCTCAGTCACAGAGAGAGGGTGTGAGACCCCTCCCCGGGGGCACCAGGGTGAGTCAGTGGAGAGAAACCCCTGCGAGCAACGCTCAGGGGCAGGAGCCCTGAGGGTGCATACTCCCTCACCCTCCTCACGCTTGGTCACCCCACAGCCTCCCTGGAGGCCCCCGGTCAGCCTTTAGGAGTAAAGACGTGGAGCCCAGTGCACATGGCCCTGCAGGACCCCGTGGAACCAGCAGGAAGCACGTGCTCTGAGGCCTGGGGTGAAACACAGTGAGAAGGGACGTCCCCAGGGGCCAGCTCTGAGCTGCAATGCAGCAGTGTGTTCTCCCTGGAAAGAGGACCCCAGGGGCACAGCTTGGCCTGGGTCAGGGGCACAGCTTGGCCTGGGTCAGAGGCAGTGGCCAGCCCTGGGGTAGACTCCTTGGCGCAGGGTGCTTAGGGCTGTGCGCTGCTCACCTCTGTGTCCATCCCTGACACAGTAGGAGCTCTAATAGTCTTTTCTCCTTCGTCTTCTGCCGTGCTGGGGATGGAACCCAGGGCCTCACGTGGGCTAGGCAAGCGCTCTACCGCGGAGCCACATCCACAGCCTCTTCACTGAATTCTTTATTTTACTTGAGGATGGTCAGGGCTTGGAGAGGACAAGATGGGGGTGATAACAAGGAGGTTGGGGGAAAAGACACGTGGACAGCGAGGGCCTCGGGTGTGCAGTGTGTGTGCGCTGTGAAGGCGCACAGCCGTCCAGCCCTGGAGGGGGGGCTCTCGAGGAACAGGTGGACGAGACAGTTCATCCTGGACACGTCACTCAGTCTCTCTCCAGTGCCCCGGTGCTTGCTCATGAACAAAGCAGGGTGCCAGGGACAGTGGCTGGTAACCTCACAATTCAGCTTACAGACTTCAGGATGTCACTGAAGATCATGAATGACCCAGAGGGAAATGAACAGAGCACAGAAATGGATGTCGTGATGGAAGAGCTCGCCCCGCACACCCTCCCAGGGCTGTTCCTACTGCTGTTTCTGCGGAAGTTGGGACCTGGAAACAGGGATGTGCCTGGAATTTTAAAATCCAGACGTGTGGACCCACCGTGAGGGACGCCCTGGATTTGCTCACTCGCCACCCATGAAGCTCCATGCGAGGTGCTGCGTGTGAGGCAGAGAGAGGCAATGAAGTAGACGTTCCCTGACGGCCCTGCTGCCGGGGTCTGGATGCATCTCTCCAACATCCCTGCATGATGCTCGCACAGAGGAGAAGCACAGGAGGAGACAGCCGTGAGAGGCATCCTTTGCCCGCCGTGGCACAATGGAGAGAAGAGGAATCTCATCTAGCAGTTTCCTGCTAGACCATCATGTGCTCCCAGGGCTGGAGTCCTCCTGAAATTTTAGAGGTACCTACTCCCTCAAAGCTTTGTGAGCCACTTACTGCCCCATGATAAATCCTTTAAGCTAGTTAGAGTGGACTCTGTTGTCTGCAACCGAATCCTGACTGATTCTAGAAATTCCCTGCAACAACCACCCCGGGACACTCTCAAGCACACAAGGCAGATCCCAGACTCCTAGCATAAATGCAGGGCAGAACTTCAGGGTCCGACTGATGTAGAGAACTCCGGGCCCAGATGCCCGCCACACGGTGCTGCTTTAGAATCTGCTGGGTGCGGCTGAGGAGAAAGTTGGGATGGGGGTTGAACAGGAGGCTCCCAGTTCCTGGGCAAGCCTTCCCCAGGCTATCTGATGTAATCCTCACAACCACATCGCTCCGAGGTGAGTTTGCAGGAGGTTGGAATGACTTCCTCAAGGTCAAGTGCCTCGAAGACGTGGTTAATTGAGCCAAGTGCCAGGCTGACTCCAAACCTGTTCCTCGAACAGATCCACTGCCATTTTGAAGAGTGCAAGTGGGGAGCAAAAGAGAAGCCTTACATTTTTCTGAGGCCATAAACTCATACCAGGAGGCACTTGTCAAAAGCAAGGCAACAGTTACACCAGAACAGCCATATTAACTACCAACTCTGCACGTCACTGCATTTTACTTTAATATCCTTTACTGTTCCAAAATGCAACCCAAGATACAACATTACAATTTTTTTTTTTAACTTTTCTCCTTGAATCCTCATTCCAACAGAAAAGGGCTTGGATTATTTGCACATGCTCAAGGCCGGGAAATACACTTGCAATATGAGGCAGCCTATGTTGCAGGACGATTTAGAGCAATTTCCCCTCATGTCCATGTGGAGGAAACTGGCAGCAGAAGGCCACAGTGAAGAGCAAGTTGGAGCAGCATGCGGAGGGCAGGCCAGAGAGCAACTGCCACATGACACCCAGCCCCAGGTGCCCCAGGCAAGTGGGGGTCTCTCCCCTGAAAGCCTAATCGGGGGAAGCAGGCTGCCAAAGGTCACTGCTGTGGGAGACAGAGCTGGTGAGACGGTGACAGGACAGGCTGAGGCCAAATAGCTGGGTACAGTTCTCAGCAAGGGGCTTCCACTAGAAGATGATGAATCTCCCCAATTAAACATGCCACCTCTGGGTTTGGAAGGCCCAGGTGAAAACAGAGGCAGCATAATCGATTCCATGAGATTCCTGGTTGTGGGAAAAAAAAATCTCACAGTCATAAAAATGACTCAGCCCGCCAGGAATAGGAGAGGCTCCACAAAGATTGAGACGACATTTGTGTGTGTTTAGTGTGATTTCACAGCCAGCCGAGGGCCCGAGAGGTGCTAAATTAAAACGAGAGATGCTGAATCCAGTTTTCTAATGAAACAGTGTTTTAACACTGAAGTTCCTGCCCCAACTTCCGATTTTTCCACTGTAGGAAAACAAACACGTACACTGTTATGTCGTATATGAACAGACGCTGCTTAAATCAGCGTGGCAATGCCCTAACCAATTCTGTACAGGCCTAGAGGCAGGGGGCCCTGTGGGCAAAGCTGCATCTTTCTTCATAGAATGTTTTAATGTTTTGAACAAGTAATTAGAAGGTAAGGGGCCTCCTCTTCCAGGGCCATAAGACTCACAGAGGTTTCCGGAGGGTATTTGGTGCTACTCTAAGACTTCAGAGAGGGGAATCTGCAAACTCTGGGTGGAATCCCTTCTTTCACCTGCCGTATGAGCTGCAGTACAGATGACTTCACCACGTCACCTGCCCTTGCCCATGGCCGGCCTCGGAAAACCAGGCCCCTCCCCATCCTCTGCTGTCCCTCTGCAAGAACGTTGCACTGAGATGAGTGCTCAGGATGGACGTGTGTGGGTCTGACTCCAGGGTGCACACCACTTCAGCTCCTGTTGGATCTGGAAGGTTCAGTCTTCATCGCCTGCAGTTCAGGACCACGTGGATCAATGTGGAGATGAAATCTTGGCCTCTGCCTTTACCAGCCACCTAAGTGGAAGAGGTGACAGATGCCATGCTTTGCCCAGGGGACCCTTCTCTCTTTCTTCTCATGGGGCAAGAAGGGTTTTGAAGATAACAGATACCACAGGGAGAACCTTGGGGAAAGTATCATGTGCACCATTAAAATAATGGCAAATTAAAAAAGAAATCTCATGCTGGGGAACAAATGATACAAGTGGTAAAATTTTATTTTAATTCCTCACCCCTGAGCTTTTGTAAGCAGAAGATTCTGAGCACACGCCCTGTTTTCCTTGCTGGGCCAGGGCTGTCAGCCGTGGCCATCATCAGGAGACTTCATTAACGTGTGGCAGGGCCTGGGTTCACGGCCGGTCTCTCCATGAACTTGAGGACAGTGCCTCCCACCCTCCCGTCCTCTGACAATGTCCTTCCTCCTCTTATTTGCAGTTTATACTGCACTGTGGGCTGGGAAAACAAATTGTCAGACTGTTTGTTAAACAAATTGTCATGGTGGACATTGACCCCTGGGGTTGGGTGTGAAGCTGCTGGACAGGACCCGGCTTCCCCTCCCTAGTGACCGGGTCTATTCA